CCATGGCTTTGAATTATATATTTAGTAACATTTTTCAGACTCTTGCAGACAAAGTTATCTCCAGTAATCCTTCTTATCAATAATCAATAGGACAAGTCTAAACTCTAATAGAAAATTAAACATATTTTATTATGAAGAATATTCATCTTAAAAGATATTTTATGCACACAGAAAACATAGACCTCACATATCTTTATTTCTCAGTGTCTAGAAAACTTCTTGGCAAAGGACAAGGGCCCAGTAAGTTAGATTCAGTGTAAGAAGAGAGCATGACTATAGAGTGTCCAAGAGTGGTCAATCTGTTCCTACAGGTTCACAGGTGAGACAAACATAATAAGATGAAATCAAGGATAATATACCACAGGGTAAAATTAGTGCTTTACAGAAATATGTAGAGAAACGTAAGCTATATAATTACAATTATGATTGAACAACTCTTAATGAGAGTTTGAATTATTGTAGAAAAAATATTATAATGGCCAAACTGTTATATCATCAATACATGTGATAGTCATTGAGTAACAAAATGTTGAATCAAAAAGAAGCATAAACTCCACCCCATTTGTAAGGAAATGGAAAGACTTGGAAAAAATCATATTTAGTGAAGTAAACTTGACCTAAAGAAACAAAGGCTCGATGAAATAATTAGTAAACATCTAGGATAATCTTACCAGATGAACAGAAAATTTCAATGGCTATGTACATATGACCATATAAGATGATGCTAAGGAAAATGAGCTCCATGATATGGATACAAAAGATTTTCTTTGTTTTTGTTTTTTTAATGAACTATGTAATTTTGTGGATCTTTTGTACCTTTTCCTCCCTATGCTATATCCCCTGCTTTAACTATATTTGCATTTGGTAACTATATTTGCATTTGTTTATGTTTATTTGAATTAGGGAAGAGAATTGAAACAACAGAATGGTGAGTTAAAGGCCAAGGGAGGAACCAATGCAACAGCAATAAACACAAAACTATATCCAAATGATGCATAAAACTTGTGGGGAGAAAGAGGCAGAGAGGGAAACTGGGGGAAAAATGAGGGAAGGGGTAACAAGTTTGAAAAGGGATGTACTTATTACTTTACTTAGGTAGCTGTAACCCCTCTATACATCACCTTGACAATAAAAAATTCAGAATAAAGAAGAAAAATATAATATATAAAATATGAAAGCACTTTTATGATAGTAAATGCTGACATCTGAGGATTTCACCTAAGTAAAAAATTTCCTAAATTATTTGAAACAAACAAGGTTCCTAAAAATAAATAATCATATTATACATGTCTCAGCAGATATGGAGCAATGTGTGAAGTGTCCAGATCATCAGTATGCCAACACACACAGGACTCAATGCTTCTTGAAAACTGCAAGTTTCCTGGCTTTTGAAGATCCCTTGGGCATAGCTCTGGCTAGCATGGCTCTTTGCTTCTCCTTGCTAACTGCTGCTGTTCTTGGAATGTTTGTGAAATACCAAGACACTGCCATTGTCAAGGCCAATAACAGGGCTCTCAGCTACATCTTGCTCATCTCCCTCATCTTCTGTTTCCTCTGTTCTTTGCTCTTTCTTGGCCGTCCCAACA